GGCCCTGCCCGCGCTGCTCGACGGCGCCCGCGCCGCCAGGTGCCGCCCCCGCGCCCGCTGCGCAACGGGACACGCGGGGGCAGAGCAGGGACCGGGGTGGGAGCGGCGCTGGGGAAGGACGAGGGCTAGTTCGTGGCGCCCCCTAGATAGGTTGGCCCCGCTGCTCTGGTGCCTTCTGGCAGCTGGGGGCGAGTTGGGAGCAAAACGGGCGCGACCCTCTCGTGTGTTGTTGCTCATCCAAGGCACACGGGGTCTTCTTTCTTTCCAGTCCCGGCTTCTGTCTGGTGAAGACCGTTGACATCCTGGAGCAGTTCGTGCGGGAGGGAGGCCTGTCGGCGCTGATGTGGGAGGTCTGCCAGCAGCAGGCGCAGGCTGCCTCACCCGAGTTACAGGAGACCCTGCTCAACAAAGTTGTGTGTCTCCCTGATCACTTGAGCAACAAGCTGCAGGGGGAAAACTTGCCAATATTCCTCCCGCAAAACTATTTCCCCTTACTGGGTACTGAGATCATCCAGGTGCTGCAGAGGATCTCTGACTCACTGAGGGGTGAGTTTGCAGAGCAGTGGGTGCTCTGTGCACAAAAAGTACCCAAGGAAATGTCCTGGTTATTAGCCTTTACTTGTCTCTCATGCATCTTTTTCCAAATGTGTGTGTCTAAACACTGGTTATAGTTTGCGCTGTCTTGTATGTTGCCTCCCACAAATGCTCCTTACAAGGTAAGGATTCAACGTGAGAGTAATTCAAGAGTTTGTGGGGTTTGTTATCTATTGGTGCTTAGAGCTAACGTTTCTCAGTGCCTGTAGTTTTGTTTGTAAGTTTGTTTTGCTGAAATGGTACCTGGCGGTCCCTTGCTGTTCAGGGCAGAACTGCTGTGAAAAAAGGGCAGGAAGGGACCTCCAGAGGCTATCTATTTGCCCCTGCCTATCCCAACCATCCTGTACAAATCCATTTTCTAACCTATCAGCAAAAAAACAAAGTTGACCGTCATGCATTCCCTAACCTGCCTCACCACGGTGGCCAGTGTCCTGTTCTCAAATACCTCCATTGATGGAGAGAGTTGCAGCTTCCCTAGGCAGTCTGCTCCACTGCCTCACTGCTCTGATAGTGAACAAGAGTTTCCTGGTATCTAATCTAAATCTACTTTGCTGCAACTTCAAGTCGTTCATCTGCATCTGACTCTGCCATGAGAGAAAAGGTGTTTTCCCTCTTCTTTATAGCAGCCTTTCAGGTATTTGAAGACTGCTATCATGTCCCCTCTTATGTGCCCTTCCCACAAGATGAACATGGCTAGCTCCTTCAGTCTCTCCTTGTGTGATTTGTCTTCCAAGCTCTTACCTTTCTATCATGGAAAGCAGTTGTTGATTTCCAGGTTCCCAAATCTAGAGAAATGTGTGCACCTGTGTCTGTCTGAAACTGTTCTGGGGAGAAATGAGTGAGTAGCATTTTGTTTCGTTAAACTTGGGTTTGTTTTGTTTTGTTTCCTACCCCAGGTGGTTTAGACTGTTCCATCTCCTTTGTGTCTCAGGTGCTGGGGAAGGTATGCGTGCATGGGAGACAAAGTGAGTGCTTTACAGTGATTTTGGAGGGATGCTGGAGGATCTGATCTTTATTGAACTGTATCATTAAGGCAGTCTGATTTTAAATAGGATGGTCAAAGGGAGGG